AGATTAACTGGGTTATCAGCAGTTGAATTCTGAGGGCATCTCGTTTTTAGTGTGTTTAGCAGTGTGGAATCCATGGTTGGATCAGGTTTGCCTGTGTTTTGGAAGTTGTAGAGACGATCTTGAAAGAGCAAACAATGAGCGACTCCGACCGTGTGGCCACCTGCGAAGACAGAATTTAATTTTATCCTTTGAGAACTCAATTAATATTTCTTGGTCATTAGCCTTAATTGGAAAGAACAATTACGATGGAAGCACTATGTTGGGTGGACACTAATATTGAGAGTCGAAAGCTATGAGAGAATGTATTATTTGAAATAAGAACAAGGTCCATAGTTCTGCGTAGCCAGTGTAAAACCTTAATAAACGAATATTATTCAATACCCTATTTATATTTTTGCATAATTAGTGCTTGTTTGGATTGTTTAAATTTATAATTGGTTGAACACACGTTTCGTACGACTTGCAACTACTACTCATATCTTGTGGGACCTGTTTAAATTATAGTTTAAGCTCTCTAAATAAGCACTTAAACCCTACTCGAAATATATTAAAATTCGATAAAAACTTTAGGTCAAAATCAACAATTAATTTTAATCACACATTTTATGGGATATATAACTTTTCAACCATATGTTCCATCAACTTTTATCAAAATATACTCGTTAAGTTGTCATGTACTAAGTTTAGAAAAATTAAAGTAATATTATCAAAAATTAAAAATCCAAAAGATTTGGAATCAAAGGTTGAATTTTTTTAGTTAATCTTTCTAGAAATATATTTATCAATTTTAGTTTGTAAATTTTCCTAAATGAGAATTCAGAATTCACAAAAATACAATTAAGAAAAGAATATTTCTTAATAAAATATAATTACAAAAAAAAGAAATAAGAAAGCAATATAATCATAAATATAAGTAATGGCAAAATGAGAAATTTATGCTTAGAGGTGAAGTACCAAGAAGATAAATCATATCAGTAGAATCAAGTCCTTTCTTGGAAAAAGCTTTAATAGAATCTGATACTGATATTGAAGGAGCTGGCAGATTCACATTCCCAGCAAGAGACACTGTTCCATCTCTT